AACACTATACAAATACGACAACTCTCTCAAGCTCGACTTTGTATCAGTCGTATCTGCTTTGGGACTAACCACTCAGACCACCACCCCTTCCCCCAACCTACGAGATCCTCCCGGTCCAGTTTAAGACAGCCCGGCAAGGCTGGATCTCGAACAAAGCCAAGAGATGCCCAGAAAGTCGATGACCCTTGCAACGGGTACGCAAGTAATTTCTCTAGAGGTAGTTGCTCTGGCTTGGACAGAAGCCCAGGACCATCTACACTAGTACTGCGACGCCGTGGTCGTCGTCGAGGCACCGACAGTGCCGGAGAGCCCACCAAGAACACTACGAGATGAAGGACCTGGTGAGAAAGAGTGCACAGCGCTCGGAGTAGGCGGCGGGGGGCTTGCCATGTCCGATGCGAGGCCCTGCCGTCTTCGTCGAGGCGACACCCACGTGTCTCTAATTATAGCCTCCCTTGAGGAATTCAGAGAGAACCTATAAATAATTACAGGAATAATGCCGCCACCGAGGATCGAACCTGCGCATGTTACTTACCACAGAAAACCAGCTATAGTCTTCGTCCGAGCACTCTGTTCGAACGTTACGACAACTCGTTGGTCTTCTGCAGCCTCTCGGCGCGACGTAGAAAGCATCGAGCGCCCTATCATCGGCAGCCTCCCTCACACAGCTCGATGAAGGCATACCCACATTTCTTGTTTCCACACTTATCGCCTCCCAAAATGAACAAATTTTCTATTTGCTTGGCATCAGTCTCAAAGTCGAGGAGCTGCAGACGTACGCCTCGTAGGCGGCGTGAGTGAACTCCCATAGTCCACCAGAAGGAGAAATATGCCACACAAAATACAGGGGAAAACTCAACTGAACGATGGGAATCCAACACAGACAAAGAGGGGTTTACAAAACACAAGTAGATACCGAAACCTCATTATTAGCATTATTGTGGTCTCACCAAGGGTCTCAGACCACAGGCCACACAATAGTCGTCACAATGCTGAAGAAAAAGGAATACATCGTCATCGTACTCTTCTCCACCGTCACGCGCCACGAAATTCCCTTAGTGGGCAGCACGGGCTTCGAACTCGTTGATGGTGAGGAACTCCTCCATAGCGTTTTTGAGGTTCTCCTCGGTCGTGTCCGAAATGAGGTGCTCAGCCCTGATCGCCTTCAAAATGTCCGGATGGTTCTGCGACACGTGCTCCAACCACATAGTCTCAAACCTAACAACGACGACGATGACGACAAAATTACCGCTGTGCTACGAAATTCCAAACCCTTACCTCGGGATTTCCTTCTGAGCAATCTTATCGAGGTATCCGCGAACACCAGCGTAGATGGTCACGACTTCAACTTCGGTAGCCATCGGACTGTACTGCTTTTGCTTCAGGAGCTCAGTAAGAATACCACCTCTGAATAAACATACACAGTCACCAAATTGATACCATCTCTCGTCCAACTCACCTCAACAGCTGTTGTTGCGTAGCTTGGTCCAAATCAGAACCGAACTGGGCGAAGGCCGCCACCTCACGATACTGTGCCAATTCCAACTTCAACGTACCAGCCACCTACACAGCGCCAAAACCAAGTCGTTATTATCATCAAAGTCAGCATCTTTACCTGTTTCATCGCTTTAGTCTGGGCAGCCGAGCCAACTCGAGACACCGACAAACCGACGTTGACGGCAGGACGGATACCCCTGAAGTGATAACAATAATGATACTCCGGTCGATGTGATTTTCGCTACTTGTAGAAAAGCTCAGATTCCAAGAAGATCTGCCCGTCAGTGATGGAGATGACATTAGTCGGGATGAACGCAGACACATCACCAGCCTGAGTCTCGATGATGGGAAGGGCCGTCAGGCTGCCTCCCTTCTTCGTGCGGGCGTTCATCTTAGCAGCGCGCTCCAGGAGACGTGAGTGAAGGTAGAAAACATCACCTGCAGAATCGATCAAGTGACAGACCATGAGCTCGCCAGGGCTTACCAGGGTAGGCCTCTCGTCCCGGAGGTCTTCTCAACAACAAAGACATCTGCCTATAGGCAACTGCTTGCTTCGAAAGATCATCATAAACGATCACGGAATGCATTCCGTTATCACGGAAGTACTCTCCCATAGCGCAGCCTGAAAAAACACCAAATCAAACGCTCTCTCTGCGATGAGGATATCCTCACCAGAGTAGGGCGCCAGATACTGCAAAGGCGCGGGGTCAGAGGCGGTAGCAGCGACGACCGTCGAGTAGGACATACAACTGACAGGGATGCATACTTGAAGGAGTTGACCATCGCCACTCACCCGAATTTCCTCAGGATTTCGACGATTTGCGCCACAGTCGAGCGCTTCTGCCCGATAGCGACATACACGCAGTACCTAACAGGAGTCTCCAAAGCGA